TTATCTTTAAGAGAGTCTAAAAGAATCTAAGAATTGCCCTGGTGGAGTAGCTCAGTAGGTTCGAACATGGTCCTGATAAACCAAGGTTGTGGGTTCAATCTCCAGTCAAGGCACATATAAGAAGCAACCAATGAATGCATAGGTAAGTGGAACAAGAAAGCGGTCTCTCTCTTTCTCTCCCTCTTTCTCTCTCTTTCTCCCTCTCTCTCTCCCCCTCTTTCTCTCTCTCTCTCTCTCCCTCTCTCTCTCTCTCTCTCACCCTCTCTCTCTCTCCTCCCCCTCTCTCTCTCCCCCTTCCTTCCTTCCCTCTCTCCTTCCTTCCTTTCCCCTCTCTCTCCCTTCCTCTTTCTTTTTCTCAAGTCAATTAAAAAATTTAAAAGAATCAAGAATTATAATATTTCTCGACCTTGAAGCAAAATCAATGCTAGCAAACACTGGACTGTTCCAATTTATGAAAGTCTACAACTGTGGTTCTCTAAGACACTATGCAAAAGAGTCACTTGGTAACAATGTCACTTTCCCTAATTTGTCACAATTCAGTGAATGCCACCCAAGATTCTCTGTTTTTACTAAATTCCCAGGTGATTCTAACGTGAGTGGTCTGCTGACCATACTTAAAAGAAAAATGATCAAGAAAAATAAAAACAAAGGCTATAAGGAGGGAGACATGATTATGTTCTTCAAACCATCAACAATATTGCATGGAAGATAATGGAAGAAATTGGGACTCTCTGACTATAAAAGAAAAGCTTCAGAAGGGACATATAACTAAAATACACAGAAAGGGCCACTTCAATAAAGAAGATGTAGCTTGGCTTTCTCTTGCTGGTCAGAAAACGTCATAGCAATGGAGACTTCAACTCAACATAAGGAAGACTCTTCATTTCTAGAGCTGCCCAACCACTGAGCAGGCTCATCCAGTGGTAAGATTCACTCACTGCAGGACCAGGAGTAGAGACTGGATGACCATCATCAGTGATGAGAAGGAAACTGTTGGTCAAGTGGCAATCCCTTTGGTAAACCTGTGCACAACCCCAATGATACCTGCTGTACTGTGAGTATCTGCTTACGAGTTTCTTTCCTCAGTTGGACTTCAGTGAGGCACGACCTCTCATTTTACCAGCTTATACACAGTGTCTGGCATGTTAAATGTCCAGTACATGGTTACTGTGAATCAAGCCTCAGATTCTAATAAATCAAGTCCCAGACTCTGCACACCTGGACTTCAGATGAGTCTCCTGTAACTCCAAAAGAAAATTTGGAATTTACAGTTATCTCATCTGGGTTCACAGCAAACCCTTAGGGAAACCCTTGCTCTTCTTCAGGAAAGTTTTAAAATCTCTTTCAATGAAGGCATTACACTTTTCCTTTACATTTATAAAGTAACTTCATTGTTTCTGTGGATGGTAGTGTTTTTTTTCTAATTCCCATTCTAATTGGTTAATTCTAGTACGTAGGAGTCTAGTATCTAATAATGTTTGGGCTTCCTTGAGAAATATCTCAGTTTTCCCAGTTTACAGAGGATTTTCCTGACTCTATTGTTTTTATATAATAGCAAATTTGCTCCTTTTCCCCCCAGCTTTTATACCTCATATTTCTTTTTTCCATAATTTTGGATGTTGCATGTACAACATTGAACAGTACAGGCGACAAGATATCCTCGTTTTATTCTTGACTTGATCAGAAAAGGAGCCAATGTTTTCTCACTAGGTTCTTTCCTCTCTTCTCTGCCATTACATTTCGTCTGTGTTTCCTAGAGTGGGAGAAGTGACTCCCATGTGACTAAGGAGATGCTGCATGAGGCAAACCACTCTGGGACCAAGTGAAGAATGTGACAAGGAGGAGAAGTTGGCTCCAAATTCACGACGGATCAGTTCACACACACGATGAACCTCTTAGAACCCACTGTCCGCATGCTGGCGTTCGGCCTCTCTCAACACACATGTGCATGCACATTAAAACCACCCCAAGAAATATTCATATGACAATAATTCATGTTTGGAATCTATTTTTAAAAGGCTATGCCACCTATGTGTCAAGATAAACTACTTCATCAGCAAACCAAACGGTATCTTCACTTCTATTTTGATTGTGGGTTGGATATCCCTAAGAGAACAGGTGTCCAATAGGAGACAACCAATCACGATGGCACACATCTTTGCCACTGTGTCCAGTAGTGCCATCTGAGTGATTGAGGTCCTCTAAGAAGAATGTCTTGCAAAAGTGTACTTTATTTCATTGAGTACCCATTTGCTGTCTAATGAAAAAATGTTTTGTTAAGCCCAAGGGCCAAAGGATAGTACCAAGCCTGGGAGATCTGTCATTCTAAACCACTGGGCCCAGACTGGCCTGTTTTTAATTCAACTTGGAAGAGTGAAATTCCACTCTTTCAAAAAAAAAACCTTAAGAGGAATAGGCCCCACAATTTCAGAGTGTTGCCCCAAGCTGGCTGTCTCGGATGTGATTCCAGGGTGCAGACTGAGTCCTCTATACTGTTGAGAGTCTCAGAAAAAGAAACCCCTAAAAACCAGATACTTTTCAATTTTGAGTGTTTTCATCTTCCATTAGCCTGAAGACAATCATGCAGACATTTTATCAGCAACAGTGTGTTGATCTTTTGATCATCCACTGTTTTGCAGACAGCGGACTATGTGGCTTATAAGCAAAAGTCATAGTGTCTACTGTTGGGAAATACTTGGTCTTCCAGGAGTTCAACAAGGAATTCCATTGTCTAAAGCATTTAAGTGCCAAGAAAAAGAAAGGCTAGGGGTAGGAATAGCAGGATAAAACCTATTTTACTTGGGATCGTTTAGGTTTTATGGTCCTTGGGTTCATCAGAATTGGGTGATACCCTGTTTGTGGGATTTTTAAAGAAAAATGTAAATTTTTCTTACATTGTGTTAATGCAGTTGATATGAGGAACTAACTGTGTAGATTTGTTAATTCAGTCATCAAGAGTTTAAGTTCCTACTATACATTAGGCAACAGATTGTACGCAGCAGTGAATACAGCAGGCAGGACTCCTGTTTTAGACAAGGGTTACGCCCTAGCAGATTCAAGTTCTAGGCAGTCTTCTCTCTGGATAGGCTGCCCCACTCTTAGAAGACTCCTTACCCCCACAGAACAGAACCTCACCCAACTTCCTGCACTCTTCATGACCCTGTGAGGACAGGTAGGGGCTGAGGTACGAAGAGTGTATCCATAAGCCCCCTCTACACGGCTATCTGTGCTTTACAACCCCACGGCAGACCTCCACAAGCCAGAGGTATAAAACCGTACAGAGTAGTAAAGCAGGGCTTCTTGGGCTGCCCTAGAAACCCTTAAACTCCTTCCATGACTGTTTCTATGGGAAAAGCCACCCAGTTCTAAACAAATGGCTCAGCAAATGCACCCTCTGCAGCATGGGCTCCGGCAACTGCCAGCTCAAATACCTAGAAACTATCTGGCACCTGCACAGAAGCTCTTGCACACGTATTTTATTTTACAGTTGGATCCTTTCCAGGGCACTTGCCAAGGCGTAATTTCTAAGAATGTCAACCTCTAGGAGTATCCTTGGAGGCCCTTCCACCAGCCAGAGTCTTAACACCACCCTAGGCTCTGGCTGCGCGTCTGCCCACAGAGAGTGGAATCCGTGCTTCTGATCAGCCCCTGGGGCAAGGTGTTTATATTTCATAGCAACCCTGTTTCTTCCTCTTCTTTTCCTCCACATGCTAAAAGAAAAGTGCCCCCGTTTTCGGCTGCCAGAACAGCTGACTACTGTCATCATTGGGAAAATTAACTGCTTGTCTCAAAGAAGGAACCGCTCTTTAGAAATGCCTGTGCCTCTCAGGATGAAGAAAAAAACTGCTCTTGGCAGTTCATCTTAGCTACAGGATGCATGTGCTGATCACACATGGCTTTTCACAGCTGAGAACAACTCCAGGCCGGGGTAGCCAGGAAATTCTCAGGGTCTGGAAAGAGGCATCGTGACTAATCACTGAACATTCAACTCCAAAGTCACTCTCACCTCCATCAACTGAGGTGCCCTTGGGTAAACCATGTGACCTTTCCCTATTCTTTGTTATTTCACTTCCTTCCTCATCCTGTTCTCTCTCCCTGGAAAGGCTGCCTTGGTTCCTCCTCCAAGTCTCAAATTTCTACAGAATGTAGTTCTGTCAAGCCTTCCCTGACTTGCCTGAAGCCCAATCAGCTTCTTTCTTACTCACACATCCCCATTCGGGACTGTCCATACCTCATTAGATCCTTTCTGACGTGGCATTATTGTTGCATATGTCTCATTGTATTTATTTTAGTTTCTCATGTTATTTTATGGTCATTTTTGGGTGTTAGGCAATGTGCTATCACTCCTATACCCACTAATATTAATGACATCATTAGTGGTATTAACAGTGTTTACAGTGTGTCAGGCCCCAATACAATCTCTAATTGTACAAAAGCCCCAGTGAGATATAATTATTTTTACCATTTTTTCTATAGTTGAGGGAAGTAAAACCAGGAAAGATTATACAAATGGCTAGTCGTGGCACTGAGAGTCAAAATAAAGTCTATTTTTCTTTAAAGTCCGTGCTTTTAACCATTACCCTCTATAGCACCCACAAATAATAGTAGATGATATTTACTAAGAGCTTACCAGATGGCATGCTCTGTACCATGTGCCCTACATACATTAGCTAACTTGATCCTCACAAAAACCCTGTAATGTAGATATTGTAATTATAATCTCAATTTAAAAAAAAACAAAATTAAGGTTCGCAGTGGTTAAATGACTTGCCCGAGGTCACAGAACTATGGAGAGTGAATTTGAATGTAGGTCCGCCTCCCGCACGGCCTGAGCACTCATCCACTGCTCTATTCCATGGCCAGATGGTAGGGTCTCTTTAATTTTTGCAAACACTGCACCGGTTTTCAAGAATAACCCCTCTGGAAACAGAAAACTGGACAGTTGCCCAGTTTTCTGCTCATGCCAGTAAACCAAATCCACCAAGCCCCTAGGCACTCACCTTAGCACATGTGTTGACCCATTAATGGTTGTGGTTGAACAGGGGACCGTCTGGCCCAGAATGGAAGGTCTTCGGTAGCGCTCATCATCACAGCAGAGGATGATGAGAAAGGCACGTCGAAAAGACTTATTCAAGAAGGCGTAGAGAAAGGGGTTCAATCCAGAATTGATATAGCCGAGCCAAAGGAAAGCAGTCCACACCTGCCCAGGGACAGTGTAGTCTATGAACGGATCCACGATATTGGTGACAAAGAACGGGGCCCAGCAGAGGCAGAAGCAACCCATGATGATGCACAGGGTCTTGGCAGCTTTGGTCTCCGTCCGCATGCGATGAGTGCTGTGCTGGTCTGCCGGCTGGGGCCTGCCCTCCGAGGGCGCTCCTGCGCGCTGTAACATCTGGATCTGGTGGGCGTGCTCCTTGGCCGTAACATAGATGCGGTAATAGGCCAGCACCATGAGCAGGAACGGGATGTAGAAGGCTACCACGGAGCAGGTGATGGCGTAGGGCTTGTTGACCATGAAGATACAGTATGTAGAGTTGGAGTTCTGGTGGAACTTTCTTTTTTCTATCTGAGAGGTGGAGGTGAGAGGGAGAGAGAAGGGGGAGAAAAAAGTGAAGAGGAAACAGAAGGAGGGGAAGGAGGAAAATCATAAGAAAAAGGAAAAAGAAGAAAAGAAAAGGAGAAATTGAAGGTAGAAAGAAGGGAGGGGAACATTGAATGAAAGGGAAGAAAGAATAAAAGGAAAAGGGAAGAAAAAAGGTTTATCAGCAGAGCTTCCTTTTTTACATCCCAGCCTACAGCACCTAGACAGAACCATGATGGTAGAAAAGGAGTGTGATCAGATCCCAGGGCTCAGAGGGCTTGTTTATCCACAAGGGGCTGAAAGCCCCAGCGAAGAATACAAATAACATAGGGGCAAAATCACTCTGTTCTATCTACCTAACCCGGGGTCGAGCTCCACCTGTCTCCTCCTACCTGTCTGCTTGCATACAACGCACCTGGGAATAAATGTCTTTGAAGGGTGACTCTTCTTCTTCACATCTATTCTAGCTATTCTTATAATCTCAGCATTTTCCAGATGAAGCTGAGTCAACTTTATAGCTTATTAACTGCTATAAAAAATCTTTTAGAATTCTGATTGGAGTTAAGATAGAATCATTGCGGAAAACTGATAGCTCTGCAATACCAAGTCTTCGTGTTCACAAACATGGTAATCCTTGCCCTTTACTGAAGTCTTTTAAAATTTATTTCAGTAATATTTCATATTTTTGTGTAAATGTCTTACAAATATTTTGTTAGATTTACTCCCAAGTACTTGAGATTTCATTCTCTTGTAAATGGTACCATGTTAAAATTCTTAATCCTCACTGATTGTAGAATTTAGTGAAATTTTTTTTGTATATTGGCTATGTATCCAGTAACTTTGCTGAATTAGTTACTAATATTTCATCTCTAGTTCTTTTGAATTTTCTCCATACACACACATGTGATTTGTCAATAATGACAATTTCATTTCTTTCTTTTCAATATCAATAACATTTTCTTCTTGCATTATTGAACTTTGACAAGTCCTCCAGGATAATTTAAAAAAAAAAGCAGTAAGATTAGACACCACTGTTACGTTCCCACTTTTAGGAGGGGAACTTTCAATATTTCCCTATTATGTATGATACTTGTAAGTTTTTGGTCAATGCTATTTATTTGAGGAAGCTCTCTTCTGAGTCTTAGTTTGATGAGAGTTTTTTTAAAAAAATAAATGGATACTGAATTTTGTCAATGCATTTTGGCAGTAATGAGATTATCATGTGGAGTCTCCCTTCTTTCTCTGTTAATACAGTGAATAACACTGACTGCATTGCATTGTGATACACTAGATCCCTTTGGAAGGATTGAAAGACTTTTGTCCCCACTCTAAACTCTGTGTGGGAACAGCTCTTAGTCACCAGCCTCCTCTAGGAATAGCCCTTGGCTGAAGGAGCTGTGTGACAAAATGGCACTAAAATACAGAAGTAGTTTGGTGTCTTAGAGTATATTATAAAATTACAGTGTATCTTTCTAATTGAATTGACATTTTATCATCATGAAATGCCTCCCGTTATCTCAAGTAATGTTACTTGCCTTACATTTATTTTATCACTGACAATAGTACAGCTACATCAGCTTTCTTTTGGTTAGTGTTTGCATTTTCTATTATTTTATATTTTCAAACTTTGTCATCTTATATTTCATGAGCCTCTCTTACAAGCAGAATATATTATGTATTGATTAGTTGATGCAAATATTGTGACCAGAGACTTGGAAGAGCCTAACCCTCTATTTCTGCTAGGAGTAAAGATTCAATATTTGCTAATTCAGTGTTTGCAGCAACTTTATGGAACCTAATTACCACGTATTCTGAACATGTGGGTTCTGCTAGCTTCCCTTTGGGCTGACTCAATGTGCAAATGATTGGAAACTTTGAAATACAGTCACAACACCATGAAGCAAAGACTAGACATGTTGACAGTGAGGAGCTGCCCCATCCCCTGGTTCCACAAAGTAAACAGGAGATGCCTCTCATTCTCATAAATGGACATACATTCCTTAGGTTATTTCCCTTAAAAATTCTACATCAGAAGGTAAAAATGCTGCGCCCTCAAAAGTTTGTGCTTCCAGCCCTGGCTGGCGTAGCTCAGTGGATTGAGCACGGGCTGTGAACCAAAGTGTCACAGGTTCGATTCCCAGTCAGGGTACATGCTTGGGTTTCAGGCCATGACCCCCAGCAACTGCACATTGATGTTTCTCTCTCTCTCTCTATCTCCCTCCCTTCTCTCTCTAAAAATAAATAAATAAAATCTTTTTAAAAAAAGTTTGTGCTTCCAAAGGTTCTCTCCATTAAGGAGTAAGTTTAACACAAACAGTAAGAGCTTAGTCTCTGGAGCCCGGGAAGCTTGGGCTTAGATGCGGCCCCCACCCCTCCTGCCCCACATGGCCTTAGCTAATAAGTTCACCCTCTGATCCTCATTCCCTGAGGACAATAATAGGATCTACCTCACAGTCTTGTCGGGAGGCCTGAGTGAGGTTCATAACAACAGTGATTCAATTCTCATGGGACTCAGCACACAGTAAGTGTTCAACCTTTGTTGGTTGCTATTTCCTGGTTGTTAGAAACTTAAATTTCATTTCCCCCAAGAACGATACAACTGAAAGTTTGAAAGAAGAGGGATAGGATTCAAGAAAAGATCCATACAGTCCCTTGTGTGGGTTCCCTTTTACTTCTCCACTCCCGTGTCCCCAGCATTCTCTCAGAGGCCCTGGGAACTCTTGTTCTGACATACCACATGCAAATCCTCGCCCAGCCTTGGTTTGTGTATCCTTTCCTGGACAAAGAACAAGGCAAGATTAGGGGCTGAGAATGGGGTAAAGAGAAGAAGAGGCAGTTCCTACTCTCACTGGTTCTGCTGGGCCAGAGCTTGCTCTCAGTCTCTCTTCTCCATTCCCCTTCCTGCCACAACATCTTCCTGGGATCAGCTTTAAAGTGACAGCCTGACTACTTCCTTAGGGAATATATATCCCTGGTGATGAATCCAGACCTTAGCTTTTGATCGCTATCACAAAGTATGTCTGAGCTGGATGACTCTTAATAATCACCTAGACAGAAGGCGGTAAGTGCCTGACACATGCTACCATGCTACTCTCCTGCCCCCTGGGACACACCATTCTCCACAGGGGACCCATGGATCTGCTCATCACAGCCCTGCAGGAGGTGGGCCAATGAGAGGACTGGGCTCAGGGTTCAGCTCTCAACTCTTGGTTCAGGGCTCGCTTCATTCTCCAGAAGCTTCCACTGACATGACATGATTTCTGGGGATCACTGAAAATCTCAAAGACTCTCAGCATGAAACAGGAAGAAGACCTCTTGGAGCACTGAAGTCTGAATGCTAAGCTTTGAACACCTGTTCTGCTACTTTCTAGGCATATTACTGGGCACATTGCTTCACCTTTCTGAGCCTGACTTTTCTCATCTGGATGAGATGAGCCAAAGATACTGTCAGGATTATAGGTAAAGAATTTTGCATTTTTTCTGGCATACAGTAAAGCATTAAAAAATGCTAGCTTGCTTTTTTGTTATTCTTATGGCTCAGACCACTGTCAGAGTCTTTCTTGGGATATCCACCCAACTTGATACTGTTTGTTTATTTGGAATCCCAAGCAAACGAAGTGAATCAGACAGTTCACCAGTGGGAATGTGCGTGAGGCCTACTCACCAAATCAATTATGCCAATGTTATTCCAGCCTTGCATTATAGGCAGAAAAGAGATAAACATGGGGATGAGCCAGCAGCCTCCCAGCATTAATGCGATGCGCAGAGGGGTCATCTTGTTCCTATAGACCAAAGGCTGGCAGCAGATGGCATAGTACCTGGAGAGAGAATGGGGGTGGGTGCCAAGGGAGGGGAGGAAGGAGAGGGAGAAGGAGGGAGAATCATCGATGAGAGAGAAGAGGGGAGAAGGAAGGGGGAGAGGAAGGAGATATGAAGAGGAAATATTGGGAAAGAGCAACATTGGAGGGGGAAGTAAAGAATAAAAACAAGGAAGAAAGAAAGGAGAAAATAATGGGGAAGAGGGGGAGAGTGGGGAGCAGAGGAAGGGAAGGAGAAGGGGGAGAGAAGAGAAAGAAGAACAGAGGAAAGAAAACAAGCAATTATACAGCAAAATGTTATATTGGCCGACAAGTTTCTGCTAATATAAACATACACGTTAGATCACCTCTGAGAGTCATTGCCTGGAGTCAGCCCCGCATCCCTGTCCCTCTCCCAAAGCCTGAGAAGCTGCACACACAGCTGAGGGTCTGCTCTGTCTCAGCTCAGCTCCAACACTACCCTTGTGCCTGAGCATTTGGGGGGCTTCAGGCCAGCCCTCCGGGCCTCAGCGCCCAGGCATCTGTGGTCCTCTTTGGTAACAACCTAAGGTGGCCCGACATCTGAGCTCTAAGATCTGTGTCTCAGATTTGTCCCCATTCTCCTGATCATCCTTTTATACTGAAGGGATGCTCTAAGTCAGTGTTCCTTACACTGTGGTCCAAGGATTCCACCCTGTTCCCCTACATCACACTCTAACCTGAGGAGGCCTATTTAAAATGCAGATACCAAGGATCTCCTGAATCAGAGCCTATTGAAGAAGGACCTGGAGTTCGCGTTTTGACAAGCAGAAGCCATTGCTTCTGTCAGCTAAGTATGCCCAGTCCCTCGTTCTCGGCACATACACTTCCTGACGGACGTGTTGTTGGGTAGGGCCAAGTGACTGGTCTGGTCAACGAGTGGTGAACAGAATTGATATATCTTACTTCTGGGCTGGACCACTTCGTTGTCTCTCTAAGGATGCAAACTTTCAAATGTTTTCTGTTTCATCATTTCCTGCCGTCTGACAGAGACCACCTCACCCCTGTTTATCAGGGTCTGCTCTTCCTCACAGGACTCACTGTTCATCTTTGAGTCCATGTTCTGCCTACCGTACTGACTTTGCTCTTACTTCCAGACAGAGATGCAACCTGCCCCACTCAGGGACCAAGTCCCTAACTCCCAGGCCGTCCCTTGCATGGTATTCCGGCCTTGGAGATCGCCACTTCTGTCTCCAGGAAATTCACGGGATGGGGCAACAGGCAAAACATCACAGTAGGTCTATCAGTGATTTGTCTTTGCAAGATTCTGAAGATCACATGCAAAACGACAGCTTGGAGGCTAAGTCTGTTCTTTAAGATTTTGTACCATTCGCTGATGAGCCACCCCCTTCTGCCCCTCATTTTAGGTAGTTCACTTTGTTAATTTTCTCCACCTCTTCTTTTCTTTTCTTAATCCCAAGCATAACTAATATAACAATGGCTGTATTTTTTGAGGAGGTGGTGGTGGGATGAGTTGGAGGGGGTGGAAAGAGAAGGAGAGCCCAATGTTAAAGCCTGAGAAGTGGATGCCTCGGGAGATGGGGGGATTATACTTTTCCTTCTAAGGCACCAAGGAACAGCTAGCTGGCCATGCTGTGCTTCCTGTAGGCAGGCTGAAGCAGACTGCAAGGAACAGCAGACCAAAGAATGGAAGAGGGGGATTAGTCAGGAACTCATTTTTCTCTCTCTATAAAACTGACATGGTAGCCAACTCTAAATATAACTCAGTAATGGAAACAATGATGGTTAGCTGGAGTTTCCTCCATGCTCTTGACTTTTAAGAAAGGCAAGTTATATCAGAATGGCCAATTTTTCTGAATGGATATACTGATAATCATCAGAGGTTTATTATTAACATGGAGATGATGAGTTAGGTATGTGTGAAAAAATATACGTTTTTTTTTACAAATTTTGCCCCCCACCTCATTCCTGCTGGAGGACCTAGATTAGACATTTGGTTGTGTCCATTAGCATCCTGCTTCTTTTTTCCTGGCAATAGCATCCAAAATCTTTGGGAAATTATCTCTGGTTTGTTGATGCAGTGGTGTTGGGAAAGCAAATGATGAGGCTGTGACATTTCCAGTCAAGGAGTCACCCAATCAGACAGTCTCCTGGGACTCCAGATGTCAGGCAGAGTGACACGAAGATGTGAAAGGCAGGACAGGTGCCCCTATTCCTGTAGCAACCTCCTGGTGGGGCTGGGAGTAGCTCCTTTCCTTGGGTCTTTGGGAAGCCATGCTCTTGACCCTTCAGTTGCTCATTCTGTAGCTTGTCCTTTAATTTAATATGCTGTGTCATATCTCCCCTGTGAATTCTCTTTGTGCTTAAGTTGCTGTTACAGGTGGAACTGTGCCCCCCTCCTCCAAAAGGGATGTTGAAGTCCTGAGCCTCGGTACCTTGGAAGGTGACTTCATTTGGAAATGCGATATTCATAGAGCTAATCAAATTAAAAGGAGGCCACTAGAGTGGGCCTTCCTCCAATAGGACTGACCTCCTCCTAAAAAGGGAAATTTGGGCACAGAGGCAGACATGCCCAGGGAGATGGCCCTGTGAGGACAGGGGCCTGGAATGATGTATCCACAGGCCAAGGAACACAGAAGATTGTGAACAGACCCCCTGGAGCTAGGAAGAGGCAGAGAAGAGCACCTACTTGATTTTATGGGTTCAAATTCTCACCGAGGCCTTGGCACCCTCAAGGCAGTGGCCCTAAGTCAGCCACCTTGTGTCCTTCCCATACCTTGTCTCATACCTTCCCAATCTTCGCTTTCTAGAAAAGAACCTAGAAAAATATCCTTTTGAAGGCCACATTCAAGAATCTAAATTAAGTAGGTGAAAATAAATATTATTGAAAAAAATGATGAATAAAAATTAAGTTCTAGTCCTGACTGATGGAATGTCCTTAAAAATTCTAACTGTTGTCTGTAAATCAAGGACCAGATAGAAATCTGATGCTTTGTATCTATCATGGTTGTTTTTTAATTCTTACATTGGGATTATATTACCCCTGCTAATAACTAAATTTTGATCCTACCATGAACTGCCCCCAAAACACATGTCCGACACCATAAGACAGAAGCAGCTAGTTAAAATTTCAGGTTCTTTGGAGGCCAGGCAATGTACCCTGGCTGAGTTAATGATAATAGCTACTATCCATTTACTTAGCAAGGACTCTACCTGCATGACCTTTTTCAACCCTTACTACCACTTTTGAGACAGGAACTGTAATGTACCCCTTTCACAGGTCAGCAAACAGAAACACAGACTGTCAGCATTTGTCCAAGGTCCCACAGGTGGTAAAAACCAGAACCAGCCCGGCAGCTTGAATCAAGGGCCAGGATGTTAACCTCATTACAGCCTTTGAGTCTGCTACCTGCCCTAAATCCCCAAGAGGTCATTCCATTTCTTTACAAGCCACTTTGGGAAGAACCACAAGCTTTCGAACTGCATGCTCTACTAAAGGGGCTGAATCACAACACACGGAAGAGAAAGGAATGTAGGTTCACAACCCAGGTGGACGGCAGCATAAATGAATGCAATTCTGCCAAATCTTGGGAAGGGACTTATCTGCGGGGTCTGTTCCCTTGCTTTTCGCTGGACATTTGCCATCCTTCTTTAACTAGAAAACTTTTACAGAGTGGCTAAATGAATGTTCAAATGGCAAGTGAGGTCCCAGATGGCCAGGATGAACTAAAATGTGCAAAGTTATTTCTTATGCAAAACATTTCAAACTATTGCTTATAAAACTCCGTTCAAACTGCCTTTGGTAGACCAGCCACCAGCTTCCCCAACCGCAGCCAGGTGTGAATATGTGATCAAATTGCCTTTAAATGTCTCTGGGGACATAATTTACCTTGACAACTCTGAAGAGACAGTTGTTTATTTTAAGCTCCACGCTAATCTCCTCCCCACTCCTGCAATTAAGGAAAATTCTTCCTCCTCACTTCCTGCCCTCCTACCACAGGGAAGGAGCAAACTGAACAAGTTGGAATTCTAGACTTTCTGAATTGATGAGAGATTTTGGCTTTATATCTTCACATCAGGGGGCCTTAACCATCGATTAGCTCTATAGCCTTAGGCTCGGTTACTTCACTTCTCTAAGATCCAGCTTCCTTAGTGTAAAGTGTGGGTCATTTTGTCTACTTCATTGATTAACTAAGGGAACTGATGAAATAACATGTTCAAAACTTAGGACGTTCCTAGGACATAAAGCTTAATAAATAGCAGTTATTAGTTACTCCCATTCCCTCTCATCTTTTATATACAGGGTGGGGCAAAAGTAGGTTTACAATTGTTATATGAAAAAATAATACAATAATTAATAAATAATAATACAGGATAAACTGTTTTGCAGACTCACAAATGTAAACCTACTTTTGCCCCATCCTGTATATTTGTTTCGTACATATTGTGAACAGATTCAAATACAGTTTGTTTGTTTTTTAAAAGATTTTATTCGTTTATTTTTACAGGGAGGGGAAGGGAGGAAGAAAGACAGGGAGAGAAACATCAGTGTGTGGTTTCTTCTCAAGCGCCCCCTGCTGGGGACCTGGCCCACAACCCAGGCAGGTGCCCCGACTGGGAATCAAACCAGTGATGCTTTGGTTCACAGGCCAGCACTCAATTCACTGAGCCACACCAGCCAGGGCTCAAATACATTTTGAAACCAGGGGCTTTTAAACTATTTAACAAATAAAGTAGAAGTCTCTTGGTTCAACATCACTCCCAGTAGTGGATTATAAGAAACAGAAAGGTGAATGAATTGATCCCTAAAGAAGAGCAGAGGCATTGAGACCATACTGACTGCCTGTAATGGGGCTGATTACCTGTAGCATCCTCTCAAGGACTTAATCCAGGCCCAGCCCTCCTTCCTGAGATGGATGAAGGTGGCCTCCTGGAAGACCACTGAGACCAAATCTCTCATCAGGGTCAGCTAATGAGAGACACAGCAACTACAGGAGAGGAGAGATGAAGTAGCAGCTGGC